AGAGCATATGCAACTCTTCATAATGGGTCGTGGCTAGCTTCCAAACTTTGATGTTACCTTATACATCTTAAAGTCAGATTCAATGTGAACTTTCCCACCTCAACAGGTCCTTCATATAGGTAAGAGTGATGCATTAACATTAAGGAGCAATAACCAAAACATGATGTTGGACTGAAAAGTAGCTTTTGAGCCAGAATGACACATTTCCTGCTGGTACTGTAGGTACCAGTCTTCTTACCATTCAGCTGACATCTTGTGAGGCATTGTTTTCTGTTAGTTTAAGCATTTAAAGGATTACTTTAAAAAGTTTGCTGACTTTACCCCAGGAATAAATATTTTTAAAAAGGGTTTCCTGTTGCAGATGTCTCTGAGAAATTCAGTTTGATTCTTTGAGTGTCCGGTCTCTGTCTCAGGATGTATCTGCAGGAGCCTGGCACAGCTTGTTAGCCACAAAAATGCTTCCAGGCTTGACTTCACCGTCACAAACGTTGACTACATTTGACTTTGACTGCAATAAAAACGGACACTCTGACACGCATTGTAATAATTACAATATAAGTCTCATTTTTATGAGGAACTAAATCTTTGCCAAGTAAACATGTTCAGTGTTTATATGGCTCCTACGGGTCTTTACTTGGAAACTGACTCATGCCTTGATTAACACTGAAAAAGATAACTCGAACTTACAAATGACTGTAACTAAGACGCTACATAATCTAAAGTTGAAGGCTTTACAAGATATGTTTGCCTTCATTCATTCATGCATTTATTCATTAGCGCTAACAGCTGAAAATATCTGGTATAATATAGCATCCTGCACGCTTAATTCCATGAAGTGAATCTACAGACCTGTAGCAACACACTGCATCGTCTGTGTTCCACTGGCCCCATTTACCCCAGCAGACGCAGTGATCTCACAGATTCCATGAAGCATTAAGCATAATGCTGCGGTCTGATTATTACAGGAACTTCTCTACAGTTTGCAAGTGGACACAAAAGCTGGCCTTAACTCAGGCAGAAGAGTGGAAGTGGAGAACGAGTGCGTGTGTGTGCGTGGAGGCGGTGTCATAAAGAAGTGATTGTCACACTATATCTAGCACTTTAACAACCATGGACAATTTTTTTTCTTCTTTCATGACAGTATTTATATCACAGCAGCTTCATTTTTCTCTAACTCTGAAAGTCTTAACGCTTCTGTTCTCTGATAATCTACAGCTCTGCTCTCACTGACAATCACTGCTTTATCTTTGATTGCACAAGAAGGGCCTATCTGTTTTCATTTACGACTGTCTTGTAGGTGCAGCAGAGTTGCAACAGATTGTGAACAAAGCATACTGATGTGATCGAGTGGGGTAGAGCCAAATTACAGGGCAGAAAAGTCCCACTTCAAGCAGCAGCAGCAGCAGCAGCAGCAGCAGCCGCCCCATAAATAGACAGTTTCCCTTGAGAACAGTGCAGGGGAACGTTAGTTTCTCTCACCCCCCTCAAGTTAAATGTGCTGTCCTATATAAGTTTGCCTCTGAGTTTCAAGGTTCTGGTGAGGCTCTTGGTGTGGTGCATGTCTTTGCACTGCAGTAATGGGAGGAAAGGCAAAAGAAAGGGCTTGTTCTCCTGTATTATGGTGTAAAGATGCACACAGAGACAACGTACTTGAGGGAGAGGAGGACAATTTTCAATTCTGGCACTTGAAGAAGTGCTCATAACAGCAACAAGCAAAATCCTCATGGTATTCCTTCATCATGCATCATTTGAAACTCTGTTTAAAAAATAAATAAAATACAAAATATTTATCCAATTCAACAAAGAAACACTAAAGACTGCTGATGGTTTACATTTGGAACCCTATTTTATTTTACACATAAGGTGGGCATCCCCTATCATTCCCAATGGGAGCTCTTTGGAAGCACTCTTTAGGAAGGCTCTCTTGTACCATTATATAAAGTATTGAGAGTTTGGTTGTTTTTTATCTTCCACACCATAGAGCAGAGAGATTACCTTAAACATGTCAGATATGCAACATAACCCAGTGTGTCCAAAAAAGAAAAAAAAAAAAGTCAACAAATATATTAAATTCCGTCCACAAACCCTTCTCCATCCATTCTCTTCCAGATGTATTTTCTGCTACCCCGGCAGGATGGGTTACTCTAAATATACTAGACTGTTTTGCAGATAAAACTTGAAACATTTTAAGCCTAGGTATTAAAATTATTTCTGGAGCACATTTTGACTTTTACTCGCATTTAAACAGTGAGAAAGTCGATTCTGATCCCTTGTTTGTCTTAAATACAATTAAATCATCTTAAATGTTAAGGCCCTAAGAACGTTTCTCTGGCTGACTTTAACCACTAAGAGGATTAAGAATTTCAACCAGCAGCTTTCTAAGAAACACAAAAAGAGGCTGTTTCATATCATTTGGATGCTCCAAGCAATCGACACCGGTATCTTTTTTTAAAACAAACAAACGCCAATGTTTAGTTATAACTTCTTCCTTTTAAAAAACCCGCTCCCTCTCACCTCATCCTCCAGCAGTGGAGGCAGATGCTCAAGATCGTAATCTCTGTCTTCGGCTTTTCTTAAGTACGCGTCCGCCGCATCACTCCCGGAAGTCTCCATTGCACCAACTTTGATTCCCTCAAGTAGTAAAGCGAATTTCGGAGCACACCGCAACGTTTCCAGTCGACACAGATGGCATGTCTGAGCTCTCGGGGTACGCTGGGCACCACTGGTGGGGGTTCAAATGCTCGCTGCAGTCCAGCAGTCAGTCGGTGGTCACTGCAGGACAATCCTGACCAGAAACGACGCCGAATAATCGATGCTTCCTAAGCGACCGTCCACAGCAGAGTGAGTGATGCTGCTGGAGGTGTTTAAGGCTATCGGTAACGCCACAAAAATCAGGCTACACACACCGAAGGCGGTCATGAGCTGCGGATCTCTGAATCCTCCCTTTTCCCAGTGCTGGCAGAGCGGAGAGTACTGCTGCCTGCATGCTACAGTTGGCTTCACGCCTCCGTTCACAGTGCAGCTTGAGTGACTCATATTCATCACTTAGTCCTTATTATCTCTTCTAATTCCAATGATCTGGCTTTGTACGAACTAGTGTGTACTAGACTTATTTATTCCACCATACTGGCTACATACTTATTTCTTAATTGAATATGAACTATGCCCTCAACAAATTCTCTAAAGTCCTGTCAGTCTGCAAAGCTGACATTTATTATTATACCATCATAATGTGTTTAGGAAGTTAGGAAGGTTTAGATTACTTTTTTTTTTCTTCCGTGAGAGTGATTGGATCAAAAATGTGTAATATTCTTCACATTCTTCTGGTTTTTGTACCTATAGGAATATCTGAAATGATCTCTTAGTTTCATTCATAAGTAAGAAGGCGACATCCTCAGCAGCATTTCTTCTTTGTATTAATTGCTACTTTGATTGAGAAATGAACAGGGCTTCTCATCTATCTTTGCCCAAAAGTCACTTTGAAATGTAATATTCTGCAACTGATCAAAGCTCAATCCACTGATGAGAACCTGTGTTATAGTTAAAATGTTCAAATGAAGCTTTTAGTTGGCTAACTCAATCTATTAGATAGTCAAGAATAAAATGTTCTATTCTTCACACAATACTTGCCAAAACATCCCTCGAAATCTCCTGTTCTCCAAGTAAACACTAAAGCAAAGAAATGCAGTATTTATTAAAATAACTGACAGAATAGTCCAAAGCAGACACCTTAAATTATAGACAAAAATACAAATTTTGCAATATTTGCATGACTTGCATGACATTTATTTTATACCAAAGTAAATGTAATCCTTAGTTTATTATCAAGTAGCAACCACTGGGGCTGAAAAATAAAAACCAACATGGAAGCGCCAGAAACTGCAGTTCCTGGAGTGGCAACTGGAGGCTGGCTCCAAACAGGGCTCTCCATCAACACTCTTGTTAAAATGCCCAAGTTTAGCAGCATTAAAAACATGTTTACAGGCTGGCAGAGAGGAAAGCATGCTCTCTACAGATAGTGTCTAAAGGCAGTTCATGTAGGAGAGAGCAGTATGTAATGATTAATGAGATGAATTTAGAAATTCTGAACACTTTTTAATGAGCACTAAATCACTATGACTTTTTACTTTCCACAATAATTAGTTAACACAACAAAACACACCTTTCAGCTTTTTATGTATTTTAAAACCAGGTTTTGGGAAATGTGTCTGTCTCTAAAGCAGTTTGGGTCAACTTCTATTGTTTAAATGTTCTATAGGCTAAATATGAATATGTGATAAGACAGTCAACGCAAAATGCTTCAGACATTTTTTAGTGCATGTTTAAAGAATATTGCTCTTTTCTAGGAAAAAATCCATTACCAGCATTGGTATTGCTACTATCGATATTTGGATCCACTCACCCACCTCTGCTTGAGTCATATGAGTCTCTGAACAGGACCGCATTATTGTGTTTGTGGTGTCTTCTGGGGAATTGTTTGACAGTTTAACAAATAACACGATTTGCTGTGACATTAACACCATCCAGAAAGTTTTTTTTCTTCAGTTTTGCCAAGTGTAAACCTTACATTATTTATTCTGTTATGCAGCACTGTAGCAAATATGTATGTCTGTGCCTTGACCCCTAACATACTACAGATCCAGTCTGCTAACCAAGGTCTCATCCAGAGAGGGTCACTTCTGCCTCCTGAAAACCAACATGTCTGTGGTATAGTGATGAATTCTCGGCAGAGTCATCTATTTTAAAGCGAAAGTTTGCATTTTGGAAAAAAAAATGAAAGAAAAAAAGCAGCAATAGCATTTCATTTACAAGACAATCAGAAATGCATTTTTCTGTTATTTATACAGAATTATTGTTGAAGCATTTTTAAAGTATATGATATCTAAATGTAATGTTGCACATATTTTTTTTTTTGTTAGTCATTTCCCTGTCAAAACAAATTATCAATGCACCCCTTCTCTCATTGTTATTACAAATGCACCCCCTTGCATATTTATTTTAGCCCAATACTTTCTGAGACACCCTGATCCATCTTAATTGTCCACTCCATTTAAATATCATCTTGTGCCGTGTCCCAGTCATGATGGAAAGCCTGTTTCGGTTGCCAGCTGAGCTCTGGGTGGTGGTGAATGAGATTGCTATTATGCCGACGGTGCCCCGTGGCTGCTGAGCAGTGATAGAAGGGCCTCTTTGGCCAGGCAGAGGGGAACCACTATTAGAACTGTTGACTGCTCAGTACTGTGGCATGTTGAGATAATAGAGGGAAGGACTTTTACTTTAGCAGCCACGCAATTAATGTGATCATACATATTCTGGCATATCCCCTCAATGACTTATTACTTGAGAACAAAGCAGTCTATTTGATCCTTGTTGGCACTGTGCTGTAGCCAAGTGAGAGATACATTCAGAAGGTATTTCATCTTCAAAAGGATTAGCTCCTAATGTGGAAACACTGCAGAACTCCTTGCTGCTGGGAACAACTGAATCATTTACAGCGAGGCAGCGCTTGGCAGAGATGAGCCCGATGTTATAATCTGAAGTCATCTTAGAGTATTATGGCTGCTCAGTTTTGTCTATTTTCATATTTCAGGCTCAGATGTACTTCTTTTCCTCCTTCCTTATTTGGGTATAGCTGTCAGAATTGGCGAGAAAGAGGAAATACATTTGGCCTGTTTGCACTTTTAAGTCGGAACCAAACTGATAAAAGATGGGATGTAATGTTACCTAACGTGTTGGGAAGCCTGCAAATACTACAAACCTAGAAAACTAAATTACTTTACATATAAAGTGGGGAAGGTGAGCAGGAGATTCCAAGTAATAATAAACAAGGACAGTGACAGAATGGCAACTTATAGAAAAGTGCTAAGAAATAATGACTGTTAGCTAAATGCTAAAGTGTTCAAGCTAACATTTTCACAAAAAGTAAGAAATTACACCAGGCAGGAAGTCATTCTCCACACTAATCATGACACACGGTTGCTTATATGCAAGCTACAAGCTAGAGCTACTTTTCAGCTCAAACCTGCCCAAATCCTCAAATGCATGCACTCATGGCTTGTGCCACCATAAACGAATGACTTATTCTAATATTGTTTAAGTGTTTTAATAGATATCCAAAATTTAGCTAATTTACTGAAGTCAGTAAACATACTAGACATGTAAAATGATAGTTCCCATTTGAAATCCTTATACATGAAAACATTTGTTGTAGAAAAGAATAGAAAAAGAAAGCTGTGACCCATATTTTGGATCTTGTTTGTATCCAAGGCTGATAGTTGACCTATGAAGTCTGGGAAGCATTGTTTCAGAGGAAATCCATGATGGACATAGAATGTCAAGCATGTGGAAACTTGCCAGCCTCTTCTGGAAATGGTGAATATTTACAGATGTGTCACAGAGATGTCAAAAGTTGCTATAGTCTTCGGTTCTGGTATGAAGCTTTAAAGTATGGCTGTGTCTCAGCAGGGAAGCTCCTCTGAGAATATCTGACTTGGGAAAATGGCAAGAAAGCTTTTGGAGGTGCTGAGGTATGCAGGAAGTGTAGTAAAGTGTTGTGTTTAAATGAGCAAGAGCAGTATGTTGAACTATATGTAATACTGACTTTCAGCCACATGCAAATGTTGAATCTCTATACTCTTTTATTTACATCATATCATATATCAGTGACAGTAAAATTATAGAAGTCAAGAGCTCTGATGGCTCACCTGAAATCCGAACAGTAGCTTTGACTTGGAACATGAATGGTTAGTTCAACCAGGTTGTATTTTTGTTCTCGCTTATAAGATCTATCACTTAAATTGTGATGGCCTCTAACTGTAACTTAAAGATCAAAATAGGGTTATTTTCTGATGCAGTAATAATTCTGTTTCATTATTCTTCCTCAAGGGTCATCAGCTGAGGATTGTGACTGTTTTCTTGAGGCATGCAGCTTTAGTCTCAGCATTTTAGCATGGTATAATTATGTAGCCTACCATGCATATTAATGATCTCATTTACCAGAACCTTATCTTAAAATGAGTCAGATGGAAATGTTGAAAAGTAGGCCAAAGACAGTATTTTTTTGAAGTCAAAGTTACATTAATCACCTAATAAAATCTGTTAACTGGCAAGCAGAGAATCATTGAGAAAGTAAAAACTTCGGGTTTTGTTCTGGAAGGGAAAAAAGCACCAATTGTTAGCTAAGCTTGCGATAGCTGTCCCTAACATATACCATGCACAAATCATAAACAGATATGGTATTCATGGCAGGACATGGTGATGGATGTGCATCTAAACACTATTAGTTTATAAAAGTGCTACAAAGGTTGAATTTTTCCAGGACACATAGCACTACATATTTAGCGCTGTGTGTCCGTGTACGCGTATGTGTAACTGGGTCTGCATACCAGCATAAAAACATCATCCAAGAACTGAATAACAGTAAAACCAACATAATAACTTTGAGCCTGGAAAGCTCACCTTCATCCATCCTCTTCTTCCAATATAATTCAGGGTCACAGTTAGATTTTGGTCTATTCAAACTAGCAAAGGGCAAAGGTGTGTGGTGCATGCTGAACAGGTTGCCAGTCTATCTGAAGGCTAACACAGACATATAGCCAACCATTCACACCAACGGCCTATTTAGAATCGCCTAAAATGTCATTGGGCTGTGAGAGGAAGCAGGAGCAACTAAGCAGACACGGGAGAATATTCAAATGGATTCAAACTCTAGCTACAAGGCAATAGCACTGACCCTGTGGTGTGGTGGAAAAGTCACTATCACCATGATCAAGGGAATAATCAATTCCCAAGGTTCTGTGGAGAAGCCAACACCACTTGGTTTATCCCTTCTAGCTGACGTCCAGTGCTAACTTGAGAGTTTACAGTTATATAAACTCTGGGTTTCATAACCCGATGTACGTCACAAAAAAACCATGATACCAAAACTATGACCCAAGGTATCATGGTAGATGGTG